TCTTCTGCCATTGGGCTTCAGGCAAAGGTGTGGATGAAGAAGAGGAGGCATATCCTTTTAAGAGCTGATGCTCTGTACCTTCTATGGAGGGTGGGTGATGTTCTGACCTTTTGTTGTGGTGGGGGGGGTGGGGGGGGGGTGAGAGGGGACGTTGGCTGATGGTCCAGAGAGTAGACCAGAGAGTAGTTGATGTTCTGCCCAAGTCTGGAAGGTAGCTGATATTTTTGACCTTCTATGGAGGTGGCTGATGTTTTTGACCTTCTATATAGGGTAGCTGATGTTCTCGACCTTCTATGGAGGGTGGTTGATGTTCTGACCTTCTACATAGGGTGGCTGATGTTCTTGACCTTCTATGGAGGGTGGCTGATGTTCTTGACCTTCTATGGAATGTGACATGTTCTTTAGTTTCTATGAAGTGTGGCTTTGATCTTTGTTTCTATGAAGGGCAGATGATGTCCTGACTCATGCAATAGTTTTGCAATGAATTCAGACAGAAAATATTTTTTTAAAATAGTGATTAGAATGTTGCCTGTGGCCGCTTAGTGACACGACTCATGACTTGAACCTCTCACATCACACAAATATTGTTTGGTTACTTTGTATTTTAAGTGCAGTTCAGCATGAAATCCCTACCTTGTAAAAAAGTAGATGTGTAATGTAGTGCATTAAATGAATCCATGTTTGTCAATATAGTGGAAGATAATACAGAAACAGCTTATTTGCTTATTATGGTTTACAAAGCTAATCTCTGCTTAATCTCCTCCACAAAGCTCAGCTTGTCTCTGTTCCATTTACTGGGAGGCCAACTGCTCCCAATACCATATCCTTGGAGTACTGACCCTTCGACAATGAGGCTTATTCAATAAACAAGGAAAGGTAATCAATTTAAAAATGTAAGAGAAAATAACTGGAATATTTTAATAAATTAATTTTACAAACAAGGTTTTTACTTCAGCACAATTTACAAAATAAACATAGTCACGTTCTTCTGTTTCCAGTGAAGTAGTCAGACAGGGTTTTAATGACTAGCAGGATAAAGAAGGTTTAAACACATGGGAACAAATTCAAAAAAAGTGATTTTTCTTTTTAACATTAAGCTCTGCTAACACTATTTTAGAGAATTTAAGCTTGTAAAGCTCTTTAAAATGAGTATATATTTTTCAGATTTTATGTTCTTTGTATATAAAAGAAAAATGTTTGAATTAATGGGCTACTCCAGGCACCATAACCACTTCAGTTATTTCAAGTGGTCATGGTGCATTGAATCTGTATGTACAGCATTTCACTTGAAAACATAGCACATACGGAGTGTAACCCCTCTGCTGCCATTGGTTTAACACCACCTCTGGGATTGTTATTGGAGTGTCATTAGTTGACCCAGGACAAGAGTTCCAGTCTAGCTACTATTAATTCTGTGCATATTTGCACTGCATAGAATGTCAGTCATTGTCCGAGAGTGGTCAAAGCATACTCTCAGTAAATTAATTGCCACCAACACTGGAGGGAGCCTTGGAGCCGAGTGAGGACCTAGGTAAGAGGGCAAACTGTTGATAAATGGTTTGATCCATCACCGGGAAACAGGGCCAGAGCAGACCATAACTACGACAGTGAGCTGTACGGTGTGCTGTAGTAGTTATGGTGCTTGAAGTAACCATATAACTACAAATCCAAAGGGTTTATAGGTTCAGCTAATTAAAATATTCCATAAATAAATATGTTTGCAAAATAATTCAATTCAGGAGGTTCATTTAAAAGATTTGATAGTGACAGGATGCAATTCTGACAGCGCTACGGAATCTGATGGCGCTATATAAATAATAAAATAATAATAGTGCCCTCTGGCAATGCCCCTCCCCCCATGGTCATAAAGAGTTAAAAACACTTTATTTAATCACCCGATTCCAGTGTCCATCTCCCTCTCTGCCTCCTCCGATGTAATCCAAGAGCATTAGGTCCATATAGAAAAGCCTTGCCTAAATGCTTTCCTATGAGATGTTCACTGATGTCAGATGTCCTGATGCAGAGCGTGAGGAAATCCAGTGTCATTTAAGGGACCCAGAGTCCGGTAAACACTCTGGGAGACAGCCACTAGAGGCTATCTTAGTACTGAAATGTAAACATTGCAAACATGGTAGACAGGGATACTGCACCCAGACCACTTCAATGAGCTGAAGTTGTCTGAGTGTCTATAGTGTCCCTTTAAATAAACTAAACTAAAAGAATTGTTTAGCAAAGAGAATGTTACCGGCGCTCTGACCTAAATCCCTATGTACATTCAAACAAAATGGAGGCTCTTTAGTTTTATTCCAATGGCCCCAAAAAGTGAGTCCTACACTAGCCATTAGATTTGATGATATCTGCCAAGAATCTCCAATGGACAGGAAGGGGTATTTTATAAACCCTTTCACATTTAACCCTTTATAGGGCTTCTACACATACAATAAACTTTGCTGGTATCAAAGTGTAAACATCTTAAAGTTTATTGTATGTGTAGAAGCCCTATAAAGGGTTAAATGTGAAAGGGTTTATAAAATACCCCTTCCTGTCCCACTGGAGATTCTTGGCTGATATCAGTAAATCTAATGTGTGCTGCTTGTTTTATCGCTGGCTTATTGAGCTGTTACCTTGGAGGATTTATAAGGTAATTACATTAATTACTCGTTTATTTATTCACACTATCTTCTCATTACTTATCCTTCTTAAGTTATTATTTAATATAGATGAGTCTATTGAGCCCATAGCATGTGTCCTCCTATCACAAAAGAAAGGTGTACAAACTTTAGTGACCCTTTCTGTCTGCTTTAATATGTGGATTCCATTTATACCTTACTTCTGTTTACTTTATATGCCATGTACTGTTTCTATTTTTCATGTTTTCTAACGAACTTGTGTATTCAACTAATGAGTTAAAACTCTTAATAAGACAAACATGGGGTGGCTGGCAGCTTGATAAAGACCTGGGTACAGGTTGAAATGTTGCGGCTTCATTAAAGGACCACTATCGGCACCCAGACTACTTCAGCTCAATGAAGTGGTCTGGGTGCCAGGTCCAGCTAGGTTTAACCCTTTTTGCAGTAAACATAGCAGTTTCTCTGTTTACATTAGGGTTAATTCAGCCTCTAGTGGCTGTCTCATTGACAGCCGCTAGAGGCGCTTCCGCGCTTCTCACTGTGATTTTCCTATGAGACTGGCTGAATGCCCGCGCGGCTCTTGCCATGCATGCGCATTCAGCCAATGACGGAAGAAGAGGGAGGAGAGTCCCAGCGCTGGAAAAAAGGTAAGGGATTAACCCCTTCCTCCCCCTTCAGCGCCACGGAAGTGGGACCCTGAGGGTGGGGGCACCCTCAGGGCACTGTAGTGCCAGGAAAACAAGTATGAACATATCACAGTGAGTGCCTGAGATTTTTTTCTTATATGTAGATTATATGGTGTATTCTGACCCATGCTCAGTTTAGCATCCTGTGTGGATCTAATCTGGCAAATCTAATGACTAGTGTAGGACTCACATTTGGTGCTTGCCTTGACGTGGCAGTTGACCTTATGTTCAAATGGCCATTGGAATAAAACTGAAGAGCCTCCATTTTGTTTAAATGTACATAGGGATTTCGGCCAGAGCGCAGGTAATTTTCTCTTTGTTTTTACGATGTATTTGAGCTGCTGGATACTAAGCTACTGTTACTGTAATGTTTAATATAATGTTTGTATGACTTAGTTAGTTATTTATATTTAAATACTACAGAATTCCTCCTGCGTTTATTCAGCACACTAAATACATTATGTGTGAAATGGCATAAGTTAGCAAGGAGAATGGGATGTACTAACTGAAAGAATCCAGCATATATTGCTAAACATGGAGCTGTTTCCATGGAAACCCATATACTACTCCTAGTGATTCCACTACTTTCCATGGTGACTACTCCAGGTTTAAAGGACCACTATAGTGCCAGGAAAACATACTCGTTTTCCTGGCACTATAGTGCCCTGAGGGTGCCCCCACCCTCAGGGTCCCCCTCCCGCCCGGCTCTGGAAAGGGGTAAAAACTTACCTTTTTCCAGCGCTGGGCGGAGAGCTCTCCTCCTCCGATCCTCCTCCTCTCCGCCCATTCGGCTGAATGCGCACACGCGGCAAGAGCTGTCCATTTCCTATGGACGCTTGCGTGCTCTCACTGTGATTTTCACAGTGAGAATCACGTAAGCGCCTCTTGCGGCTGTCAATGAGACAGCCACTAGAGCATTTGGGGGAAGGCTTAACCCATTTATAAACATAGCAGTTTCTCTGAAACTGCTATGTTTATAAAAAAAATGGGTTAACCCTAGCTGGACCTGGCACCCAGACCACTTCATTAAGCTGAAGTGGTCTGGGTGCCTAGAGTGGTCCTTTAAATCTCTCATATTTCTGTGTCATCAGTTTGCTCCCACAAACAGAGACTCTTGGGGAACCTGCTTTTGGGGACGGGGTGCTTGCTGTGTTTTTCCACCACTTACTGATTGGTGACAGGTAAACAACATTAACATGATTCTACCTTTTTTGGTCATTACATTTTTGAAAATCCATGTGCCGTCTTAATTTGCAAATATCTTACTTGTTTGTTTGTTTTTAAATTAAATTAACCAGCTGGAGTCAGTAAAATCAACAGGAAGAAAAGGGGGAAACGAGTAAAAAAAAATATGTCAAAAGGATGGATTTCACTGGTGCAATACAGTAAAAACAAATGACACCAGTGTGTAAAGAGCGACGTAATAGTTTTCATAAGAAAATGTCCATGCAGGGAAAACCAGCAGAGAGATGAATGTGAACATGATTCTTCTTACCTAGCCCAATTTATCACTTGCAAGCCTGTTTTTTTTATACCGGGAAACCATGCAGCACAAAAGGAAAGCTTCTGTATACATGTGTGAAAAGGTAACTGACCCTCAACCTATAATAAAACCCTAACCATGTGCTATAATCCTAACCCGTGCAATAACTCTAATCCTGTGCTCAAACTCTAACCTAGAACAATGCACTACATTACCTATCTACTTCTTGGTAAGGTAGAAATTTTGTGCTGAACTGCACCCAAAATATGAGTAAACCAAACATTGTTTGTGTGATGGGAGAGGCTCAAGTCACAAGTATTGTTACTCTGTGGCCACAGGAAAAATTCTAATCGCTATTTTTAAAACATTGTTTTTCTGTCTGAATTCATAGAAAATCTATTGTATGAGCCAAAACATCAGCAAAACTCTAGAAAAGGGAAGAACATCAGCCACACTCCACAGAAAGTAAATGACACCAGCCACACTCCATAGAAAAGAAAAAACATCAGACGCACTCCACAGAAAGTAAAGGACATCAAACACATTCCATAGAACCTAAAGAACATCAGCCACACTCCACAAAAAGTAAAGAACATCAGCCACACTCCACGGAAAGTAAAGAACATCAGACGCTTTCCATAGAAAGTAAAGAACATCAGACACATTCCATAGAACCTAAAGAACATCAACCAAACTCCACAAAAAGTAAAGAACATCAGCCACACTCCACGGAAAGTAAAGAACATCAGCTACACTCCGCAGAAAGTAAAGAACGTCAGGCGCTTTCCATAGAAAGTAAAGAACATCAGGCGCTTTCCATAGAAAGTAAAGAACATCAGACGCATTCCATAGAAAATAAAGAACATCAGGCGCTTTCCATAGAAAGTAAAGAACATCAGACGCATTCCATAGAAAATAAAGAACATCAGACGCATTCCATTGAAAGTAAAGAACATCAGACACATTCCATAGAACGTTAAGAACATCAGACACACTGCACAGAACGTTAAGAACATCAGACACACTGCACAGAACGTTAAGAACATCAGACACACTGCAACTCTAAAATGATGCTTTAACCCTAACCCTTAATTTTAACTCTAATCCTATGACAAAATCTTAATCCTGTGCTATATCCCGAACCCACTGCTATAATCCTAACCCTGTACTATGTCCCTAATCCTGTACTGTCACTAATTTCTATGGAATGCGCCTGATGTTCTTTGCTTTCTGTGGAGTGTGGCTATAACCTTAATCCTATGCTATAACACTCACACGGTTTCTATCACCCCAACATGGTTCTATTACAGTAAATGGTTCTATAACCTGTGCTATAACCATAACCTGTGTTATAAACCCTATCCTGTGGTATAGCCATAACCTGTGTTATAAACCCTACCCTGTGCTGTAACTCTAACCTGTATTATAATCCTACTATGTGCTATAACCCAAACCTGTGCTATAACTATAACCTGTGTTATAAACCTACCCTGTACTATAACCCTATCCTATGCTATAAACCCTACCCTCTCTATAACCATAACCTGTGTTATAAACCTACCCTGTGCTATAACCATAACCTGTGTTATAAACCTACCCTGTGCTATAACCATAACCTGTGTTATAAACCCTACCCTGTGCTATAAACATAAACTGTGTTGTAAACCTACCGTGTGCTAAAAACATCAGCATATGTTATAAACCCTACCCTGTGCTGTAACCCTATCCTGTGTTGTAAACCCTACCCTGTGCTATAACCATAACTTGTGTTAGAAACCCTACCCTGTGCTATAACCCTACCCTGTGCTATAACCATAACCTGTGTTATAACCCTACCCTGTGCTATAACCCTACCCTGTGCTATAACCCTACCCTGTGCTATAACCATAACCTGTGTTATAACCCTACCCTGTGCTATAACCATAACCTCAGTGGTGTATCCTGGTTTTGTGCTGCCCTAGGCAGGACAAAACTCAGGCGCCCCCTCCCCCCGCGCCACCCCCACCCAACCCTCCCCCCGCCCCACCTTCTAAATACACACACACAGTCAGACACAAACAAACACACACAGTCAGACACACACACACACAGTCAGAGACACACAGTCAGGACACAAACACACACACAGTCAGACACAAACACAGTCAGACACAAACACAGTCAGACAACACAAACAACACAACACACAGTCAGACACACACACACAGGTCAGACACAGCCCAGACACAAACACACACAGTCAGATCAACGACAACACCACAAACACACAAACAGACACAAATGACACACACAAACACACACAAACACACAATAACGTGACACACACACAACACAACACAGCCCAGACACAGTCAGACACACATACAGACACACAAACACAAACAGACACGCCAGCCGACACACAACACACACAAACACAGTCAGACAAACACACAAACAGACACACAGTCAGACACAACACAACACACACACCAGCCCAGACACCCACAAACACACAAACACACAAACACACACAGTCAGACACATACACAGACACAAACACACACACAGTCAGACACAAACACAGACACAGTCAGACACAAACACACACACACAGTCACACACACACACACAAACACAGTCAGACAAAAACACACACACACACTCACACTCACAAACACAGTCAGACACAAACAAACACACACACACACATTAACCTTTTTTTAAATTTAAATCCCCCCCCAACCTCCTTACCTTTGGGAGTGCTGGGGGGGGGTCTCTATCCCTGGTGGTCCGGTGGCTGCAGGTCAGGCGGGCGGCTGGCGAGGGAGCACTTCCTATGAGCTCTCTGCTCAGCTCCCTCGCGCGCCGGCTGCAGAGTGAGGCTGGGAGCCGGAAGATGACGTCATCTTCCGGCTCCCAGCCTCACGCTGCGGCGCGCGAGGGAGCTGAGCAGAGAGCTCATAGGAAGTGCTCCCTCGCCAGCCGCCCGCCTGCCAGCGCCGCCCGCTCGGGATGTCAGTTAGCCGCGAGGCTAACTAGGCATTTGCCCTGGGCATTTGGGGGGCGGCGTTTTTTGCCGCCCCCTGAAAAATGCCGCCCAAGGCAAATGCCTTCTTTGCCTCGCGGCTAATACGCCCCTGCATAACCTGTGTTATAAACCCTACCCTGTGCTATAACCATAACCTGTGTTATAAACCCTACCCTGTGCTATAACCATAACCTGTGTTATAAACCTACCCTGTGCTAAAAACATCAACATGCGTTATAAACCCTACCATGTGCTATAACCATAACCTGTGTTATAAACCCTACCCTGTGCTATAACCATAACCTGTGTTATAAACCTACCCTGTGCTAAAAACATCAACATGCGTTATAAACCCTACCATGTGCTATAACCATAACCTGTGTTATAAACCCTACCCTGTGCTATAACCATAACCTGTGTTATAAACCTACCCTGTGCTAAAAACATCAACATGCGTTATAAACCCTACCATGTGCTATAACCATAACCTGTGTTATAAACCCTACCCTGTGCTATAACCATAACCTGTGTTATAAACCTACCCTGTGCTAAAAACATCAACCTGCGTTATAAACCCTACCATGTGCTATAACCATAACCTGTGTTATAAACCCTACCCTGTGCTATAACCATAACCTGTGTTATAAACCTACCCTGTGCTAAAAACATCAACATGCGTTATAAACCCTACCATGTGCTATAACCCTATCCTGTGTTATAAACCCTACCCTGTACTATAACCATAACCTGTGTTATAAACCCCATCCTGTGATATAACTCTAACCTGTTTTATAATCCTACCATGTGCTATAAACCAAACCTTTGCTAGAACCATAACCTGTGTTATAAACCTATCCTATACACCATAACCTGTGCCAAAACTCTAACTCGGTGCTATGACCATAATCATCACCCATGATATAACCTTAACCCTATACCATAACACTAACCCGGTGAAATAACTCTAACCCTATGTTATAACTGTGATCCTGTGCTATAACCCTACACTGGATTAACCCTATTATTTCATCCTAACCATCTGCTATATCATTAACCTTGTGACACAGTTATAACCCTATGATATAATTATAATATTTTGTACTGGCAGACATGACCAATGAGTCCAGTAAATGTTTGTCACAATAGGACAACATTTCTTTACTGAGGTTGAAACCCTTACACTGCAACACCAGTCTTCCTAGTGTTAGGAATACAGACCTTTGCTCCTAATGCTATAGAGCATTTGCAGGTTTGCGTTAGATCCTCTGAGACCTACTGATGAAGTAGTTCCAACTGTTCTGGTAGAAAGAACCTTGTTTTAGTCAACGTGACCAACGAGAAGGCGGTCACAGCCAGGCCAGAAGCAGCTGTTTTTGTTCAGGCACTGAGAAAGGACGAGGTCCAAGCAGCCTCTAAAGTCATGTCTAAAAACATCCTCACTGGCAAAATTCCAGATTTGCTCGGTATACGGCGTCAAGCATCAGGCTGATCAGAACGGGCAATCTCCTGCAGTCCTCATGGCTAATGCCACAAACTACAGGGTGGCCCAAAATTCAGAGTAGGGTTTGAGGAGTCATTAACGTTTTTATTAATGAACCAATTTCAATGATATGAAATGATACTCCTACAAAGTCAGGCTCTTTCGATTTCATTGTTCATAACATTAGCTAATGTTTGAGATTCTAGCACTCGAATTTCTACACATATATATTTGCCTGAGCTGGTTAACTGTAGGCGGTTTGTTCATGTACACCTGTTCCTTCATATATCCACAAGGGGAGTAATCGGGAGCTGAAAAGTCGGGCAAACAAGGCAGCCAATTACCGTATATACTCGAGTATAAGTCGAGTTTTTCAGCACTTTTTTTGTGCTGAAAAACCCCCACTCGACTTATACTCGAGCTTACATTGCCATAATACAGACCAGGACCACCAGGCTTGTAATGAGTGTTTACTTACCTTTCCTGCAGCTCCTTTCAGCTCCCTTCTCCTGCGTTCCGGTCAGCTCCCCTGTAAATCTCATTACCGTGGCAATGCTCCGCGCGGCACGCAGACTGTGAGATTTACAGGGGAGCTGACCGGAACGCAGGAGAAGGGAGCTGACAGGAGCTGCAGAAAAGGTAAGTAAACGCTTCCTGCCAGCCCCCCCCCTTTGCACAGCCCATCCACTGGACCACCAGGGATTAAGATAGCCCCCCTGCCTGACCAGGTAACAAGCAGGGAGGAGGGACAAAAAAAATTAAATGATAAAAAAATATTAAAATAAAAAAATTCAAATAATATTAAAATTAAAAAAAATTAAAAATAATAAAAATGCCCTCCCCCCCACACACACACACACACTACACACACACACTCTGCATTATAAACACACACACTCATACAAACACACACTCTGCATTATATATATACACACACACACTCTGCATTATATACACACAGAGTGTGTGTATATAATGCAGAGTGTGTGTTTGTATGAGTGTGTGTGTGTATATTATTATAAAAAACACAGAATTTCATAACCCCAAGTTTTACCCTCGACTTATCCACGAGGCATAGCATATTTCACAATTGTTGGTCACAAAACTGCACTCGACTTATACACGAGTATATACGGTAGTTTGGGAATTTCTTGAAATTATCCGCTCGCCGAACAGTTGTTTTAGCAGGTCTACTGTGGCCCTGGCTGTATGGGCAGTTGCCCCATCTTGTTAAAACCACATCGTTAAAAGATGATTTCCCACAATCTTTACAGATATCGCCCACCAATAAAATGTCACCATTTTTACACGTTGCTCCTTCATGAAATTACCCATGATGAATTTCCCAATACTCAGTTATAATATGTACCTGCAACAAAATAATTTAACTATTAAACAATAAGTTGTCTGTCAAATTCTACTCTGAATTTGGGCCCACCTTATATTAATGAGCAGGTGTGGAATTCTATGATGTGAGCTAAACTGAAGTCAAATTGTCAGTGGACTAAGCTGACCCCATGCTGCCATCTGTGAGCAGGACAAGCAATTGGGATAGGTGTATAAATATAAATATATAGGTATATAAGTATATAGGTGTATGTTCACTTCTAGGTATTTAATGTACTTATAATGATTGCACATGTTGAACCTCACCTCTTTTCTCATATGGAATTCACTTCACCGAATTCACTTTACTTTATCGAAAACATGTAATTAATAACTATTGCCAAAATTCAGAAACTGAAATTATATATTGCAGGTAACTAGATAAATCTTACTGTGGGTAAATAAATATATATTCAAATTATTTTTATTAACAAGTTTTTCATATAAAAACAACATAACAATCTAATTTTAAAACAATATTATAACATACAAACAATATTAAAGTTATTCTTTAGCGTAAGGAATACAAAGTTGGGTTAAAAAAAAACCTTACTGATTCCAAAACCGATCTCCCTCGGAGCTCCGCCTCCTCCAACGTCACAGATGGAGGTGCTACTGCACATGCGCGGCAAGCGCTTTGGGCCCTCCCCAAAGAAAAGCGTTGCTTCAAGGCTTTCTTATGGTGATTTATGTGAAGCTGACTGTCCTCATGCAGAGCGAGTAGGAAGTGAATCTAGTGGCTGTCTAATTGACATATAATTGTCAATCACATATCTCACATATAATTTTTTTAATGTCAAATGGTTACATAAATATTGCAGGTAAATATAAAAATCTTACTGCAGGTATATATATATCTTATTGCAGGTAAATGTTTAAATCGTATGGCAGGTATGTATATAATATATAAAAATGAGGGGAAATTGATATATATATTTAATGCAGGTAAGTGGACATATCTTATAGCAGGTAAATGGATAAATCTTGTAGCAGGTAAATAGAGATCTATAAATGCAGGTAAGTGGACATATCTTATTGCAGGCAAATGGATGTATATATTGATGCAGGTAAGTGTATATACATATATATTAATGCAGATAAGTGGATATATATATTTATTTAATGCAGGTAAGTGGATATATCTTATTGCAGGTAAATGGATGTATATATATATTAATGCAGGTAAGGATATATATATATCCTTACCTGCATTAATATATATATATATATACACACAATATATAAAAATGAGGGGAAATTGATATATATATTTAAAGCAGGTAAGTGGACATATCTTATAGCAGGTAAATGGATAAATCTTATAGCAGGTAAATGTATATACATATATATTAATGCAGATAAGTGGATATATATATTTATTTAATGCAGGTAAGTGGATATATATTAATGCAGGTAAGGATATATATATATATATATATATATATGTATATATATATATATATAATATATAAAAATGAGGGGAAATTGATATATATATTTAATGCAGGTAAGTGGACATATCTTATAGCAGGTAAATGGATATCTATAAATGCAGGTTAGTGGATATATACATATATATTAATGCAGGTAAGTGGATATATATATATATATATTATTGCAGGTAAGTGTATATACATATATATATTATTGCAGGTAAGTGTATATACATATATATTAATGCAGGTAAGTGGATATATATATATATATATATATTATTGCAGGTAAGTATATATATTTATTATTGCAGGTAAGTGGATATATATATATATATATTATTGCAGGTTAGTGTATATACATATATATTAATGCAGGTAAGTGGATATATATATATATTATTGCAGGTAAGTGGATATATTTATTATGGCAGGTAAGTGGATATATATATATTAATGCAGGTAAGTGGATATATATATATATATATATATATATTATTGCAGGTAAGTGGATATATTTATTATGGCAGGTAAGTGGATATATATATATATATATTATTGCAGGTAAGTGGGTATATATATATTATTGCAGGTAAGTGGATATATATATATATATATTATTGCAGGTAAGTGGATATATATATATTATTGCAGGTAAGTGGTATATATATGTTATATATTATTGTAAGTGGATATATATATATATATATTATTGCAGGTAAGTGGATATATATATATATATTATTGCAGGTAAGTGGGTATATATATATTATTGCAGGTAAGTGGGTATATATATATTATTGCAGGTAAGTGGGTATATATATATATATATATATTATTGCAGGTAAGTGGATATATATATATATATATTATTGCAGGTAAGTGGATATATATATATATATTATTGCAGGTAAGTAGAGTATATATATATATATATATATACACAGTAGGCGGGTATATATATATATATATATATTATTAGAGGTAAGTGGGTATATATATATATATATATATTATTATAAGGGAAAGTATATATATATATATATTATTGCAGGTAAGTGGGTATATATATATATATATATATTATTGCAGGTAAGTGGGTATATGTTTCATTGCAGGTAAATAGATATTTCTGAAAGCAAGGTTAGAGCCCGGATGGCTGATAATACACTCTGCTAGGAGTGTCCCTCTGGTGACTGGGGATAGAGGAGGAGTGGCTGAGGTTGCTGGGAGTGTGAGTGCGGCCCCCCGGACAGTGTTGTGGGAGTGGCTGAGTTTGCTGGGAGTGTGATTGCGGTCCCCGGGGCGGTTTGTGGGAATGTCTGAGGTTGCTGGGAATGGGAGTGCGCCCCCCCGGCCGTGCTGTGGGAGTGGCTGAGGTTGCTGGGAGTGTGAGGAGTGCCGTGCCCGCGCCCCGTGCCCGCGGAGGGTAAGATGGCGGCCAGGCGGGAGTCCTTACCGGAGCTCTGGTCATACGGAGTGTGTGAGGACGGCCGGGTGTTCTTCATCGAGTGAGTAATAATAATAATAACAACAACAACCTGGGCAGTAACAGTACCCGCGGAGTAATGAGTATTAATACCGACCGAGGGAGTAACAGGTGTGCTGGGAGTATGCAGAGTGAGAGCAGGGGGGAATTACTACTAGAGCAGAGTAAGTGCAGGGGGGTATTAATACTAAACAAAGTGAGAGCAGGGGGAATTAATACTAAACAAAGTGAGAGCAGGGGGTATTAATACTAAACAAAGTGAGAGCAGGGGGTATTAATACTAAACAAAGTGAGAGCAGGGGGAATTAATACTAAACAAAGTGAGAGCAGGGGGAATTACTACTAAACAAAGTGAGAGCAGGGGGTATTACTACTAAACAAAGTGAGAGCAGGGGGGGGTTAATACTAAACAAAGTGAGAGCAGGGGGTATTACTACTAAACAAAGTGAGAGCAGGGGGTATTACTACTAAACAAAGTGAGAGCAGGGGGGAATTACTACTAAACAAAGTGAGAGCAGGGGGAATTAATACTAAACAAAGTGAGAGCAGGGGGAATTACTACTAAACAAAGTGAGAGCAGGGGGAATTAATACTAAACAAAGTGAGAGCAGGGGGAATTAATACTAAACAAAGTGAGAGCAGGGGGAATTAATACTAAACAAAAGTGAGCAGGGGGGTATTAATACTAAACAAAGTGAGAGCAGGGGGTATTAATACTAAACAAAGTGAGAGCAGGGGGGTATTAATACTAAACAAAGTGAGATTAGGTAGAGTATTAACACCCGAGCAGTGATAGTAACCCAGAGAGTAACAGGTGAGCTCTGGGAGTATTAATACTAATAGGAGATGGGAGATTGTTGGTTGGAGAATGAGTATTAATATTGCAGGTGGGGGTATGACTACTAAAAGTGAGAGCAGAGGAAGTATGCTATCCAGGAAGCCAGTGAGTATTAATATAGGAGTTGGCAGTAACAGGTGTGCTTTGAGTATTAATACTAACTTAACCCCTTAAGGACACATGACATGTGTGACATGTCATGATTCCCTTTTATTCCAGAAGTTTGGTCCTTAAGGGGTTAAGAGGGCAGATTGTTGCAGGCTGAGCAGGTGGCAGTAACCTGTGTGCTGGGAGTATTAATACTGATTAGATATAGAAGATTTTTGGTTAGAGAGTGAGTATTAAAAGTTGCATGTGGCACAAACAGTTGGGCTGCGAGTATTAATAATAACTGTGGAGGAGGGCTGTTTTTGAATGGACGAGGAGGATGTGAGTATTAATATAGCAGGTGTCAGTAACAGGTGTGTTTAGGAGTATTAATACTTATTGGAAAAGGGAGATTGTTGGTGATGAGAGTATTTATACTGAATGCCACTTTTTCCACCCCCAGTGACCTGACACACAACACAACCTGGCTGCATCCCAGGACTGGGGAACCTGTCAACTCGGGACACATGATTCGCTCAGGTAACTGTACACACAATATAGTAACAAACACAATATGTAATGCACTGTATAAGCAATATGGACATTCATTCTGACTTTCATGTAATCCTATCTTTGCTATGGGAGGTTTGCTTACATCCCTCTTGTTCCTAAACTGCAAGAAGTCAGTCTTGGCGCAAAGTTGAGGATGCCCCTATTTTTTGGGTAATTGGCTAAAAAAAACAAAAAACATTTTGGAGAAAGGGACACTAATACGATAATTATTCACATTTAATGACTCACCGTCTGAGCCTTTTACATAATTTGCAAAGACACTTGACAAAGACATTGCCGCTGTGTGTACGGTGGCCAAGGGTTTTAGAGAAATGTGAGAAATACTTACCTGAACCTATCCATCGGGTGTGCTGCCATGCAGTTCGGTCAGGTCCTCTTCAGCTCCTGGCTGTTTAGCTGCGAGGAGCCGATGTCAGTGCTCTACTCCTCTGCGAGTGTACAGCATTGAGTTCTATGGAGGATTCCGCGAAATCCTGCATAAACAAAGTTTTGACAAGCCTAGGCTCTGCCTAGGAAAAATATTGTGACAAAGTAGTATTTGCTTTGTCTTATATCTTTTAACTGGGTTGAAATTCCAACACAGTCAATGTGAGTGTTTCATAAAGATTTATCTTTATGAAATACTCTTTTTGGCGTAGGCAGGAGTGTGACAGAGCCACTTTAAGTTGAGTTCTTTGTTCACAAGTTCCCAAATGACTTTACCACTGGTACCAAGAACATCAGGGCAATCGAGAGCCTCAAGGTGCCAATCATTGTCATCACACACCTGGAAAGATTACGTGTACCCACTATATAGGTTGATTGCACAAACATTACTAACATAGTAACATCCCCTGGATGTTGGGCAAAAGTAACATCCACAGGACGTACTTGAAAACCAGAGTAATCTGAATGTACCTTTCCTAGTGAAATACTTTATTATTATTTGTAAAAAAAAATGTGATATTTGTATACCTGTTGTTCTAAACATAATTATCCTTGTCCCTGTTTTATACTAACTTTTGGTATATCTTTTTCCTTCCTTGCCATTTGTGATATTTTGTAATAGTGAATATCTACCCTCATTGGTTAATAATTACAATGGTAAATATGTTCGCGCTGGCACCTGTCTAGCATGGCAGGAATGTGGATAAAACCATGTGCTTATCACAGGTGAGTGGCTGCTGTCTGTTGACCCTTAGAATGGATAGTTTTTGGTTAAATAATGTCTGAACAGCTCTAAAAACCCCTCTTGCTGCCCCAGATCATTGCTGTTTTTTTCCCTGCAATGTGAGCGAATGTGAACAGAACTTCTGGTTCTTGCTTGTTTGTGTCTTGTTTAATGAAATGCCATGTTTCTGTGTATTTCCTTTTCCAGATCTGCCCAGGGGATGGGAGGAAGGTTTCACAGACGAAGGTGCCAGCTACTTCATTGAGTGAGTCTTTGCTATCATGTTTTTGGTGTTTCATTAGTAGGCAATGCCCAGCGCTGGGCCATTTGTGGCACCATGTTTGCATAGAGGAGAGATCTACCTACGGACATTGCTTTCAGCATCGTTGTTGAATTTTGAAGCTAAACCTATACTATATTACTGTATATCTCTCTGTATACATGACTGTCCTGAGAACACAATGACTGTCCTGAGAACACACTAAGCGCCAGCAGTATGCATTGCTTACTATGGGGTCCGGGTGGGGAAATGGCAGCCCCTCAAGTGCTTTTTAAAATTAATGCCCATGGTTCTCTGTGAACCATACAGGGGTGTCTAAGACGTAAGGTGGTAGGGAAATTGTAGTCCACACTCTGAGCTACGTGGTGCAGAACGCACCCCATTCCCACAGCAGCTCACTTTCAGAGGGTGTTTGAAACACATGGCTCCATCTCGTACTTAAAAGTGGAGCAATCGCCATGGAAACCAGTGGAATGTTTCTGCTGATTACTTTGGTTTCCATGGTGATTGATTTATCACACTTTTATATTACCAACATTTAGACGAGAAGGAATATTTTGGGGAGAATTTGTCTCAGTTTTTATAATAATAAATTATAAAAACAAGTGAATTACAGTTGAACAGATATGTAGCACAAACTCCAGATTTTGTTTAGTTTTGATCAGAACATGTACAATTGCCTCAGTCCTCAAGGGGTTAATATCCTCTTTCTATAATTGTACGGCACTGCAGAATGTTTGTGGTAGTAATAATAATAATAATACCCCTGTACTTATGATACAGATGGGGTTTATGTTATAACTGACTCTCCAAGTGTCTCTGCTAACAGATCAGTAGAATCTGTCTCCTCCTGATTTGCAAATCACTTTTTCGATTTTTGTAATTTCTTTTAACTATTGGCTTTATTTATTTATATTCTACCTTTTTCTGTGTATTTTACACACATGCATGTAGAGTAACTGCATACTTATCATGGGGTGTGAGATAAGTGTTCAGAATTAACTGTGATGAGGAATTGTGCCACAGGAGGAAAGCTGTATGAAATCATATTTCAATTAAACATCTACTTTCTTGCCATAATGTGAATGCAGTTGACCTTCCGATTTATTGACCGTGGTAGAAATATTCCTGGAATGTTGACACATTTTATGCCATTTTAGTTAGGAACATGACCCTTGTCCAGAGCTCAGGGATGGTGGAATGTTTGGTAGAAGCTTTGACTGATCTATATATAATCTACCTCTTTGCAAAGTGAGCAAACTGTAGAAAAATCTAAATCAAACCAATCTCTGGTATGACCAACCTTGGGTTTGAAAATTGCAAGTACTCTGGACTGATTAATCAAAATTTTAAATATTTGGCTGTAGTAGAAATCCGTTTGTTTGTCGAAGGGGTGGAGAATGGTAGAAGAATGATTTTCTGTAGGCAACAGTAGAGCACTGAGGAGATTTCTTGCAAGCTTGGGGCTGTATTTCTGCAAATGGAGTTGGGGACTTGGTCCTCAAAACTGAGAAGGATATAATGCAGTACCTTCATGGATTCAGGGGATTGACACTAAATTTAACTGCCGAGCTCCTTGCACAACTATGTGCAAGTGTACTTAGAAGAATTGGTGCTTTTTCAAAGGCATAGTATAGTCACTCCAAATATTGATTTCAATTAGATTTTTATTCTGTTCACTCACTTTGCTTGTCATTAAAGGAACATTGTAGCGTTACAAATATAAACATATTTTCTTTGAGAAATCGGCACTTTTAAATCAAGTAAGAAACACCTCCCTGGTTTTCAACCAGCACTAGTGCGCATGTAAGGGCATGTGTCTACAAGGTTCCATTTTTACCTGACCTCCGGTGGCACTTCATCCTCCTCCCTGGCTGCAGCTTCCTCCTTGCAATTAAAAAGGGAAAGGAGTCTTAAAACTCATCAGGCACTAGGGTACTATAGCGTTAGGAATGATGGTTTGTAAATGGAAAATGGAGCATCTCCTGAAAAAAGTTCAACACAAATTATAGGTGTGTTTTCAATGTTTTACTCAATGGCACAACTCCTACAAAGTGACTTTAGGTGGATTACTATTGTAAATATGGAGAATATCTGTAATAATTTTAAGATTTTCCTCAGACAATTAATATAATTTGCTCTTTGTCAATATTCCATGTTTTCATACTCCATTTTTATAAATTATTTAAACCTAAGCCTGATGTTAAAGTTAAACAAGACAGAACCCAAGACTACACAGAAAACCAACTTCATTAGCTTTCCCGCGAGCTGCCCGCTTTACGCTCTGTTTCTGTCACTTGATTTACTCTGCTCGGGGTAAAGCATACTCTGTCATATATAATAGATGTGCCTAAGTTGTAGTGTAGGGCTGTCCAGGCACCGTCAATATAGAGAATTATGTGAAATGAAGTCTGCCGCCACCTGGATGATTGTAGTGTTCTGTTATAAAGCATGCTGTCCAATCTATCCACCCATATGAACTGAAGTGAGTGACACATGGGGCGGTGATTTATTTATTTAAAAAAATAAATTAAAAAAGGGGTCTGAAAGTTGAGAAATCACCATGGAAAGCAGTGAACCAGCAGGCGCATTGCTTTGGTGACTCCACCCCTTTTACATTTTTGCACAAGTTTTTAGAAAGGGCATTTTGATAAATATCCTCCTCTACATGTTCTATGCCATTGTCTGCAACCCCTATAATTCTACACCTGAGGCTCCAATATCTCACTGGGTATTTAACACACAACTCTGCTGGGTTCCTTCACATTGAATTACTGGATAAAATAGCAGTCTTTATATTTTTCTTGTGGACTAATTTGATGTAAAGTGCTTGTATTATTATTTACTGTTATATTTTGCGGTAAACCGGATTTCTTTGCACGCCTGGTTGTATAGTATGCTTTATTTGTACGCTCGGTTGAATTGTCCGTCTCCCCCTTGGTGTTATACCTATTGTTAAAACATTTAACCCCTCTTATTGACTGAAGACTAGCGCTGCACCAATGATTATTAACCCTTTGTATTTACTGAGGACTAACGCTGCAATAATGGCTATTAACGCTTTGTTTCTATTAAAGACTTGTGCTGCACTATTGAATATTAACCGCTTTTATTTATGTAAACCTGAAGCACTGTTAACCCATTTTATTTATACGAAACTGAAGCTGAAGCAGTGACTATAACCCCTTTGTTTTACAGAAGTCTTCTGTTTTAAGATTATTAACCCCTATTTACCTAAAACTAGCTCTGGAGCAGTGACTTAACGCCTTGTATTTTCTTAAAACTACAGCTGGAGGAGTGGTAATTAACACCTCCTATTTAAGTAGTGCTATAGGATTAACTATTACCTCTTTACATTTACCTAAAACAAGCACTAAATCAATGACTTTCTCTTTACCTCTTGTGTATCAATTCTAACCACACTGTGTGATTGGAAAGTGATGTGGAAAATGGTGTTGCCAGGTAAAGGCCAATAGTAATAGAAATATTAATCTTTGTTGATATATTTTTCAAGTTGTACAATGTTGCCAGTCAGTGTTGGGCTGTTGATGACTGGGCTGATATTATCACCTGGAGACGTTCTTTTTAATCTGTCAACAATGTTATGTAACCCTTCCTGTGTTTCCTTCTCCCCTGGAATGAGCAGATTTTGGGAGAACCTGCGCTGTCCCTGGTTTTTGTTTTATCTAAAAGCAGCTTGTGTTGTCCTTGGTTCCTCTTGCTGTCACCCCACAGGCTGGAAAATGTCCACAAACACCCAAAAGACTTCGAAGCATTGCCCGGTGTATCTTTGGCTTAGAGCACAACTTATTTTTTAGGCAATTAATAACACAATCTGAACGATTATTTAACTACTTGTATGTTTTTTTATTTATTTTGGGTAAACTGCATCTGAAAGTTGTCGTCTTTTACTTCCCTTTTTATTCTGTTGATGAATAACGTAAATTTGTTGATTTTTATCCCAGTGTGAGCATTCTCTTTCTGGAGGCTGTGATTGTTTGAGGTGAATATTGTTATATTAGGTGCTGCCTCGAGGTTAGCGCTATTGTTTAAAGTGGATATTATTATTAAATTAGCTGCTATCTCTGAATTCTAGTTGCCAAGTTGAACTTTCTGATTTTCTCATTCGCACAAAACTAGTCCATATCTGCAGTAGGAATAGACCGATTATCGGTTCCAATTATTTATTAGAGCCGATATTCAACATAATTCTGATTATCGGTATCAGGCTTGTTGTTCCTGTCACCGCACGCCCTCTTGCCCATCCCAAAACTCCAATTGCAAGCCAATGAGGCACCATGTCCTGACCTCATGTCACCAATCCCTGTGAGTCTCAGCATATGGAGCTCAGTTGAAGACAGGGTGGTGAGACTGTGAATAATCTACTGTAATTTACTGGTCTGGTTGCCTTAGATTGAAAGGACTGTGATTGCTGTCAGCATGTTCACTTAATGCCATATTTGTGCGGAAATGGTGTTGCATTTTCAAAACTTGTATAGAATATTGTCAACTGGCCAAAAGGTGACTGGTAATCTGCATTAGCTCTGGAAATAGATGTCAGTCGATCTCTAATCTACAGCTTTTGACCATGTGGAGCCTGTTATGTTTATGCCAAGGTATTTAATAGTCTCATTATGTTGTGCAGGACATGGTAAAGCACATTTATGCTGAGAATCTTTCGATCATTAGTTTGTGTGTGATTGTCTGTCACCTTACAAAAAGCTCTATTACTGTACATGGGGCAGCCGGTAATCCAATTCCTACAGGACGCTCACTGTCCCCAATTTAGCCAATTTCACAGGAATAGGGCTTATTCACTAAGATGTGAATTAGGAGATACTGACGTGCAAGATACACACTCAGCTGGCTGAGCCAGCACATTTCATAACATGGCATTTTATTCTTTAAAAATAGGCTTTCAAAGATCCAAAGCTTAATTGGTTAATTTTGGCTATTTTGCTCTACATTTAGTTTTCCAGTGATTTCAACTCACTGTTTAGTGCTAAACCCCTTTATTTTGGTCTAAATTCTGCATGTCTGTTGCCAGTCGACAACAACTCTGTCTGGAAGTAGAGACTTGGAATGTCTTAATATTTCCTGGTTGGTGTACTATAACATGCAAATCAGGTAGGAAATACATGTTTGGGTGTTTGCTTTTTACTGTCATTTCATACTGTGTAGGCACTCCCATTGTATGCATGGTTTTAAAGGTGTGAATTCCTCTCGGGGGTGCGTTATTCTGTCACTGCATAAATATGTTCTGCAAGTAAATAGTTAATACCGCCAGTTAATCTTTGTTAAATGCCATTAGAACGACCTTTATGCCTAAGAGGAAAGCAGTTTTTGGAAGTTAAAAGCAGTTTGTTCTGCGTGATTGTGCATACAGTGTTTAGTTCGTGAATTGGATACTAATAATACACAATATGTAGCAAAGGATTTTTCTTGCCAAAGTCTACCAAAAGGACAGAAATTTGGAAAGATTAAATACAGGGCTTTCTGATTAGTTCAGAAATTGCTCAGATCAAACATAGAGATTTTCCTGACATATGGTGGCAGTACAATAGGCATGTATTCTTCCCATGGGACAAGCTCCTGAAATTAAAAAAAAATTACATAAAAGTTCCTCCCCCAACAGGTATAAGACACCAACCTGCCATGGACCCTCAGTTCTGTTTCTTGTTCCATGAGGAACGGACGGCATCTGGATTTTGTGGTGAGGCACATGGGTTGCTGCCTGGGGGACCCGGCCTGATGGCCTCCCGGGTGGAAAACTGAGTGGCCTGCGTGCATCCTGCAGGAATTACGGAGCAGGTATGTTTCACTTGCTTTATGCCGAGTGCGGTCACCGGCAAAGTAAGGAGGAGGTCTCTAGTGGCAGCAAGTCACTGCTCGAGCGGGACGCATGTGCACATCGGTGGAATGCACGCCCGGGAGGTAATGCGTTCCACCGGAGTTCTGACTGTGCTACTGTGCATGCCCGCTCGGAATTCCTGGAAATAACGACAAATGTGAATGAATGCTGCCTATTTAAGCTGTGCAGCTCTTACACAGCTGCTTGACAGGAAGGATCTCCCGTGTCACCAGTCCCCCCTCCCCCCCACACGGGTCAGAGGTTTTAGAGGTGAGATTTTTCAGTCTCTGATCTTTAAGACCTCTTTGTCTATCTTATTATAATTAAAAAAATTTCAACAATTTCATAATTGCTTTATGTTTTGCAGATATGTCTAGTCCTGTCTCTCCAGATATTATGGATAAACACGAGGTGCCTGCTCCTGCTGCTAAAAAAGCCAGTTATTAGTCAAAACATCTGAGTTGTAGCGATTGCTCCACACCACTTCCAGATGGTACTAAAAGGAAAATCTGCAACCAATGTTTGTCCTTATCGCTGGAAAAGTCCAAGCAACAATACATGAAGTCATTCTTATCTTGGTTTCACGACCATCTGGTCCAGACATTTGTCATTCAAAGATTCTGCAAAGTCGAATGTAACAGCACCCGCTAAAGCTACAGCCAAACAGAGGCAAAAACACAAGTGATCTTCTTCTAGATCGGAGTTGTACTCGGGCAAATGTTCTATGTCTTCCTATTCAGAAACTTCCAGCGATTCTTCTGTGACAGAACTCTGTTTCCCACATGAAGAATTACGCAAATTTATTAAGGAAGTTAATGTTGCATTCTTTGAAGAAACATCAGATAAAGCAAGTTAAAAAAAAAGCCTTTCCTGTTCCACAGCAGATTCTGGAGTTTATGTACAGAGAGTGGAAAAACTCTGACAAAGGTCGTTGACATGCAAGTTGCTCAGTTGTCTAAAAAGACTACTATACCGATTGGAGAAGTCTCTGGACTTAAAGACCCTACGGATAAACGGGCTGAAACGTCCAGCAGACAAGCATATCAGGCAGCAGGTTTTCAGGCTAATGCGGCATTGGCAGGAGCTTTAGTGGCTAAAGCTCAGTATTATTGAATTCAGGGATTGGAAGATAGCCTGACAGAAAATCAGGACAAACTCCTCTGCATCACACAAGGTCAATTCAGTTTCTAGGGTTTTTGATCAAGTCAGATACTCTTGCTATTCACTTGCCTGTAGAAAAAAAAGGATAAAGAAGCAGACAAAAGAGCCAAAATGCTCTGTGAGGAAAGCTATGCACGTGTTGGGACACCTCACTTCCACTATCCAAGCAGTAAAATGGGCCAGAGCAGAATTCGAATACAGGTTGCTTCGAATGCAGGTTGGGGTGCACACCTGCAGTATCACTTAAGGCAAGGTACATGGTCAGAAGGAGAAAAAAGGGAATCTTCAAATTACTAGGAGTTGATAAGTCTTATATGCTCTTCCTCAGTTCAGAGATCTCATTATGGGGAAAGCGGTGAAAATTCAGTCAGACCATCAGACTACGGTGTCATACCTGAACAAACAAGGGGGCACAAGGATAAGAAAACTGCACTCCCTTTGCATGCAGATCATGTCCTGGGCTCAAAGTCATCTAGAAGACATATCCGCTACTCATATAAGAGGAATACACAACGTTATTGCAGACGACTTAAGCCGATCGAGATGGTCCCAGAACGAGTGGTCTCTAAATCCGGTAATTTTTTATCAGTTGGTGAACCTGTTCGACCTGTCTGTCATCGATCTAATGGTGAGATGGTCAAATGCAAAGGTGAATACATTTGCCTCACTCTTCAAGGCAGACATGCCTCTGGTTTGGGATGGGCTGTCAATCAAATGGGACTTCAGCTTGTCATACATATTTCCCCCATTGAGCCTAATTCCAAGGATCGTGCAAAAGATGAATTCAGAGCATACAATGGTACTGGCCATAATTCCATACTGGCCAAATCTGACCTGGCTCCCGTTTTTAATGACTATGGTTTTGAGGTACTGGGAACTTCCGGTTTTAACAGAGCTCCTGGAGAACAAAGGGATTCCAGTGGAGGTATTGAAAATGTTCAAGTTGACGGCTTGGCAAATCCTGCCTAACAGGGGTATTAAGAATGAGAGATTCAAGATTCTGCTGAATTCAACCAGAAGATCTACCTCTGCTATCTATTTGAAAATTTGACGAAATTACTTCATTGGTGCATCTCTCATCATTGCCTGCGAGATTCTCCTTGTACTGATACTATCTTGCATTTCCTACAGGACGGTCTTAAAAGGGGGTCTTCGCTTATCTACCCTCAAAGTTCAAGTTTCTGCTCTCAGCCATTTTTTGGTAAAGAACTTCGCTTCGAATACTGTGATTAGGAGTTTTTTTTTAAGGCTGTCAGGCTTATTAGGTTTCCAAGAAGAGGTTTTTCCCTCTTGGGATCTGACTTTGGTTTTGAAAGCTCTTTGTACCCATCCTTTCGAACCTTTGGAGGAAAGATATTTAAAGCTCTTGTCTCTTAAAACTGCATGTTTTGTGGCCATAACTTCTGCAAAGAGGATAGGTGAAATGCAGGCCCTTTCATAATCTGCTGAATTTACAAAGATTCTGCCAGAAAAAGTTGCTCTGTATCCAAAAATCCTCGTTTCTACCTAAAGTCATCTCTTCCAGGGCTATCAATCAACCAATTTCCCTGCCTGCCTTTAGTTTTCTATCTGTCTCCAATTTGTATGAGAATTGACACAGGTTGGATGTTGGTAGGTCTCTGAAAATCTGCTTGGAACGATCCTCTGCATACAGAAAGACTGACCATCTTTTCGTCCGGTTGCCTGCAAGTCTACTCTGGCAAGATGGCTTGTTGACACTATTGAATTGGCTTATTCTTCATCAAATCTGCCTTTCCCTACCTCCTTGAAAGCTCATTCTATGAGAGCCATGGTGGCTTCCTGGACCAAAAGAGCACATGCTTCACCTGAAGATATCTGCAGAGCTGCTACATGGTCTTCATTCAACACCTTCGTCAAACATTACAGACTAGACGTATTCTCTGCCTCTGACGCTGCTTTCAGGCACAAGGTGTTAAAAGCGGTGGTTGCTTAACACCCGCCCATATATCTCCATATATCTCTATTGTACTGCCACCATATGTCAGGAAAAACTGCAGTTTTACTCACCGCAAATTAATTTTTCCTTAATATGGTGGCAGTACATCACTCCCTCCCTTTATTAATAAATGTGATATTTTTGCAGTAGGATGTCTCTGATGTTTTATTGGGATGTGCTGAGGGTCCATGGCAGGTTGGTGTCTTATACCTGTTGGGGGAGGAGCTATTATGTTAATTTTTTTTATTTCAGATGCTTGTCCTATCGGAAAAGTACATACCTATCGTACTGCCACCATATTAAATAAAAAGGAAATTACGGTGAGTAAACTTGCAGTTTTCTGATGGGTTTCGACAGATCTCAGATTTCATACAGGGTTAGCTGATGGGTTTAGAAGGAGCTCAGATTAAATACAGGCATATCCATGGGGTTTAGACTAAGTTCAGATTAAATACATGGATTTCTGATGGGTTTAGACTGAGCTCAGATTAAATAAGTGATTATTTGTTGGGTTTAGACAGAGCGCAGATTAAATACTGGGATTATCTGGTGGTTTTTAGCTGAGTTTAGATTAAATTGGTTTAGAAGGAGCTCAGATTTAATACAGCATTGGGTTTATGCCAAACTCAGATTAAATACATGGATTTCCATTGGGTTTAGACCAAGCTCAGACTAAATGCATGGATTTAGACAGAGCTCAGAATAAATACAGGGATTTCCAATGGGTTTGAAAATTGATATAGAATTTCCTATGGGTTTCAAAAGTGTGTCCAATAGAGCAGACTACATAGTCTGAGAAACCTACAAATGGCAGCTCCTTGATCATTAACCTGTCGAGGGCTCTAGATGGAAAAATGGCAGATGTCTTAAGGGACCCCCGACCAGGAGACTTCTAACATTACTCCTCCTAATGCTGTTAATATAGGCATGTGAGCGAAAAATTCCGTGCTTTAAAAGGTTAATAAATGGCTTTTATCCATATGAAACTAAAGCTTGGGTGCCACTTCCTCATATCCTAGGGAGCCGACTGTGCAGGGCTTGCTCAGTGTAGAAGCTCCTGACTTCAGAGGAAGCGACGGGGGACCACAGGTAAGTTGTCAAGTTGATTTTAAATGGTTTGAGTAGTTGCTGTCAGAGGGTGCCAACGCACTGTAGAAGTTGTGGTGCTTGGAGTGTTCCTTTGAAAATGTAATCTAATATATTGATTCACAATACCTGTATAATAATGTTAGTGTTTCCTCCACACAGAGAACAGATTTTAATGTAAGCGCTTCTACCTTCTAAAACCTTTTTAATATTGTATTTATTAATATTCTAAGAAGTGATTTAGTTCTGCTTTTAATAAAGTCACTTTTCTTTCATAAGTTATTTAATATGGATTGCAAGCTGAGGCTTGTCCATTGCTGTCAATATATCATCAGGCCACACACATAGGTTTATTCAGTACACTGTGAATTTTCCCAAATTAAAGGAACACTAAAACGTTAGGAATACAAACCTGTACTCCTAACACTATAGTGCCCGTGTTGTGGAATAGCTATAAGTAACCTTTTCAGTAAAAACCCGCAAAATAGGTTTTTATATAAGTTTTCTCCAACACGGAGACTAGCTCGACGCTGCCTGCCGTTCCGCCTCCTGTGATGTCATCCAGCTCTCGAGTGACAGGCTGGTTCAATGCTCCTCGTAGAGTAAAGTAAAAACACTATTCTGTAAGATCTTAATGAAAATAAAACCATTTTATTATGCAGATTGTGTGAGTCAGTCACTGGAGGAGTGACTAGGGCTGCATAAACCGAAATCCAACATGATTAAACTCCTAAATAGCAGATAATTGAGTAATGAGTCTGCAGGTATATGATCTACACACCATAACTACTTAATTAAGCTATAGTTTCTTTCTAATTCAAGCAATCACCAGTTAATCTGATGAGTCACGTACTGGCCCACAATGAGATATGCTTATCTCACCTCAGGTCCCACTCTTTGACAGTGCCTATCTCACTCCCAGGTTCCCCTATTCCAATGCCTTTCTCACTCCGACCCCCTGTTCCAGTGCCTACCTCACTGGAAGAGGATAGGCCCCCTCTTCCAATGCCTATCTCACCCCCCCGGCCCCCTCTTCAATGCCTATTTCACCCCACCGCCTTTTCCTCAAATGCCTTTTTCACCCCCCTGGACTCCTCTTCCAGTGCCTTCTACCCCCCCTCTTCCAGGGCCTATTTCACCCCTCCTCTCCCCCGGCCCCATCTTACAGTACCTATTTCACCCCTCCCCAGCCCCCTCTTCCAGTGCCTATCTCACCAGCAGGCCCCCCACTTCCAGTGCCTAT